GTGTGTGTGTGTGTGGAGTGGACGGACCGCCGCAGCATGATGGGAGTTTTCATACGAGCAGATTTCAGAGGGTTCATCCCGGCTCTCGTGGAGAAACAGAGACTCTCCTGCCGCTCTCATCACCATTCCCCCACATTCCAAGGACACTTTTCTGATTGACGGGGCTTAATGTGGATCTTGGCAGAATTGAATTTGATCCCGGGGGCTCTGCCACGGGGCCCCGACGGTAGATTTACACTCCTCCCACCGCCCGCTCCTCCTGTCTTCCCCTCCCCTTTTTCTCTGTCGAACAAACAGAAACAGAATTACCTCCCGTGGAACAGCTCGCTCGCTGCATCGAGGCGAGATCATGAGCGGCTCTGTGTCACAGAGTGATTGTGCTGTTTGTATTCGTTTTTTTTTTTTTTTTTTCCTCCCTGAAGGGATCGTAGGAGGGGGAGTTTGGGGCGTTTGAGCGACACGCTTTTAGACGAAAGAATGTGGCTGGGATTTATTTTTGTGGAGTTTAAAGTACAGGTGTGCGTTTAATAATTGTTTTTTTTTTTTTAGGGGCGATGTGCCCACCTCTCTGTCCCTGTTTACGCCTGAGGAGGGGAGAGGCACCTGCTGCCACACAGCCGTTGTAACCCCCCACCCACTTGCAGAATTTAGCTGAATAATCACAGCACCCCCGCCGGCTCCTCTCACTTCAAAGCCATGATGAGATGGAACAAAACTATGATTTGCGTCGGGGGCAACTTTCAGTTACGTAATGGGCGCAAGTTTTCCCCACCCCACACACACGGAGGCCTAATCACATCTGTGATGGTTATAAGTCTTTATCTCTGCAGAAAGAAACCGTTTCATACACTGTGATCCCATGCAGATCTCAGGCTTGTCCTCCCCGACTCTTGTCTCTTGCAGATCTGTGACAGCAACATCCTTATCGYTGGTTAAAAAAAGAAAAAAAAAAGCCTGCCGTTCATGTTTATCCGTTTGGCTGAAGACTGATATTACTTCAACATCTCCACCAGCCTCTTATTTTTTATCTTCCGGCGAGGCTGAAAGCACACACAGCCCAAGACAGATTACTTTTTCAGCTCCGAGGAAAAACAATGGTTTTCCATCTTCTAGAGGCATCCTTTATCCATTCACACAAACACTGTGTGATGGGCTGCTTTTACATCTGGGCTGGAGCTTTGTGTTACCAGCCTGGATGGTAAAAGACCGAATATTACACGTGTTGCATAGGCTGACTATTAAAGCTGCAGTAGCTAACTCCCTACTGTGGATTTATTTAGCAACATCTAGTTCCAGTAATGGACTTATCAGGTAAATCTAATAAATCAGTTCAGTTTATTTATATAATATTTATAAGCTAGTCTCCTATATTGAGTCCAAATTGGCGACAGTGGAAAGGAATAACTCCCTTTTAACAGGAAGAAACCTCGAGCAGAACTAGGCTCAGGACGAACGCTCATCTGTCACAACCAGCTGAGTTTGAAAGGAGGGGCGGAGCTAGATGTTTTTGCAAGGGGTGGACACATACAAATAAAGAGAAGAACTCTGAATTTGAAAATTCAAGATGGTTGCCACAGCTACCTAATTCCAAATGCCTTTTATCTGTTTTAAGAAACATTGAGCCAAAACTTTGTGTGTGTGTGTATGTATGTATGT